TCCCAATGGAATTTCCCATTGGGAACCTGCTAGCACTAAGTTGCTAACTGGTTAGCAAGATGCTTCCCACAAACCGGCCACAACCAAACTTGCTGGCAAACCTTCCGCCACAACAATCCCGCCCCCTTGATAATCGACCAATCACATTCACTTTATCCACTCGTGTAAAGTCGGGCACCACTCGGGAGAATTCAGAAATGCAACGATTGTAACGGCCGCTTCCCTACGACTTTAGTGACTGATGCATCCGACTGTTTGTATGTGTGTCTGGTGTTCAAGTGAAACCGAGACGTAAGTCAGTAAACGGTGCATGAAGCAGCTTTTGCTGGTCAAATCTACACCTGCAAATTACCTAAAGAAGCTTAATTATAAAAACACCAAACCTTTCCAAAAATATAAAACCTATTTTTTTTCTTTTTTTTTTTTTAACCAAAAAGCAGTGTGTCTGTGTGTGAGTGAGTGGGGTTGTGTGTTTGAGTGAGTAACTGGCTCCTATTGGTCTGTGTCTCCAGACCAACAAGTAAACAGCAGTAAGCCAGCTGGAACTAGGAGGAAAAGTACAAACTTCTCCTCAGACTGTAATGCAGTTCACGAGAAGAGGAACAAACTCTCACACTCGTGTGTGTGTGTGTGTGTGTGTGTGTGTGTGTGTGTGTGTGTGTGTGTGTGTGTGTGTGTTTGGATGCAGTTCCTCCTCCTCCCTGCAGATGAGTCCACAGTGGGCATTGCACTTATTTCGACTGTTTGGTTCTATCTGCACCGTTTCCTTCACCTTCTCAGCCGCTCCATGTGGATTTTTCTGGCTTTACCCACATGAACTTCCTTAATGTAACTGTGACAGTTAGTCGACTCATTCTTTTTCAGTATAATCGACTCTGGTGGAAAGGTCTTCCACAGAATGTTACGGGAATTTCTTGGGTTTTGGTCAGGCCGCCGTCCAGGTTCCTGAAACCCAGAACTTTTTAGCTTCCATTCCCATCTTACATCTTTAATCTTTTGAATACCAGAGCTTTAAAAGTATTCAACACATTTTGCAGGACTTCTATTTAGCTGGAGGATATCGATATGGTTTAAAAATCTAATTTAGATTTTTTTTCCCTACCAAATCCCAAGAATTAATTAAATATTTTCCTTCATAATAAAGATGAAACTTGAAAAACAAGCTTTTATTTCAATCTTCCACTATAGGAGGTGATCTTAATTTAAAGGGCAACGCAATTTAAGCTGAGAAAATGCTTCTAATACAATGTTTCTCAACAAACAATAAAATATATCAAATTAAGTGTTTACAGCTAGTATTATTACTGTGTTTCAGTTAGGAGTTCACATCTAAGAACAGAAAGTGGTGACCTGATGTCACCCTGATCTACGGAAGCCCAAGAAGTCAACTGTTGGGGAAAAAAAATCAGATTTTCCAAAAATTTATTTTAATTTCATTCTAATACAAATACATTTTAGTAGTCTGTTTGTATAAAAAATTGCCCAGCCTTAATTGTACCGTCTGAAATTTTCATTTGGAACAGAACTAAATGGAGTCACTGTTTTTATGTTCTCTTTACCAACGCAGTGAGCATGAAGGAAAATGTATTTTCTGTGCACTTTTTTTTTTCTTTTTTTCTTTTTTTTTTTTAAGAATATAATTTTTGAATTTCTATCATTTAAGACCAAAACTTCATACACCTCTGCTCAGAACCCACCCTGGTACCATGAACCATGCTATGCTCAGAGTAGAAGCTCAGTTTGAACTGGAGCTGTGTAAAAAAAAAAAAAGAAAATCAATATTCTACTTTTGTTGATGCTGCTTGAGAAGTTAGATGCAATTTCCCCATCTGTTTAACTAAAAAAAATCTCTACAAAAATAATTTGAGCACAGACACGAACCGTTAAAGAAGTGATCCCTGTAAATTTTGCCAGCTGTAGCTGCTTCCTACCCTCGTGAAACCATCCTGGTCTCGCGAGCTTTCAAGGTTTCACTCGCAGATCAGTCTGGAGACTCTCTGTTAAAGAAAATTTGGAGCCGTTCACCAAACGAACGTCCAATCAGCGTTGGCTTTGAGGCGGGTTGAGGTGTGACGCAACGAGAAGCGCGAGAGTATTTCTTCACTGAAAGAAGACCACTGAAAGAACACTGCTCTGGAGGCTTTTCTCAGAGGAAAAGATGT